ACATTGGACTATCACTATCCTTATGCGTTGGTGTTATGTTACACAGCAGTCAAGTCAATTTACTTTACGGTGCTTTGGTGGTGAAACGTCACCAATTGAAATTAACGTGAAAAGCTCTGCAATGAAATCAGCTGCAAGATTGAGCGTATGGTAAATTTTCCACAAGAAACTTCGGACATAGCCCGATAGGCGGGGCGGTGATAAAATAACCTACACTTTATTTGGGAGAAGCTAAGTCACGCTAAAGGGTGAGGATGGCGCAGGAGCACGCGAAATAGCGATACTTCAACATCTATACGGGCGGCAAAATTTTATTCTTCTTTATTACAAACATATTTATAACAATAATAATGCTTGATAGCACTACAACTAGTTTATAAACTACCGCAGTTTGATTATAATAGCTATATAGATAACAAATAAATTGTAATGCCCATATTTGGTCATTTAACTACCACTCAAATTATGTGATTTTTCAATGAGTGAAGGAGTCATATGTCCAGAGGAAATTTTCTGCTCTTATTCACATCTTTATTAAGTCTTGTAGTACCTTCCTGAAATCTTATTTTCGACGACTGTATTGATATCATACTGATAATCTTCAGTGGCAACGGGGCATGTTATGACGTTAAATATTTGGCCTTCCAAAAGAGAGTAATCATCTTTTGTCAGCCGATAGTAGAGATAAGAATTTGTGTATTGACCATTCTTAATATAAGTAATATCATTCTAATACAGCTGTTGCTCTATTAAGGTTGGTTTGTCTGGTATTCTTGAATTTTACCGTTAATTGTTCTAGTGCTTATTTTCAGAATAAATGGTACGACCATGTTTGGAATTTGTCAATGAAATTATAATAATTACTGAAGTGCCGGTAAACTATTCGTTAATAGTTTTGTGTGTCTGTAAGTAAAATGTATTTCGAATTGATTACGATGGAATTTTCTATAATATGGATTTTAGTCTTTCATAATCTCCGACAATTCCGTAACGACTGCTTTCATTTTTGGGGATAAGTAAGGCTATTTATTTTGCACCTGATTGTCTGTCCTTGCAATATGCTTCTATTGATTCATTTCGTTTAATAGAACCTGATTTTGTGATTTTCGTAATGCTTTCTCAACCTGCCTGATTTATTTCGTGATTTCTGATTCTATTTAAGAAATAAACAATTTATTCGTACTATTGTGCTTCAGAATGTTATAAATTTTCAAAATTCAAGAGAGTTTGATCGTCCTGTTTGGTTTCGAAAATTATCTTTATTATTTAGTTGAATTTTCCCATCGTTTTGGCGTTGATTGACTCGGTTTGGTATATTCTGAACGTATATTAAGTTTGGCACGAAGCTTGTAACAACCCGGAGACCCAGTATAAACTTGTATATATAAAAATGATCATCGTGATGAGCTGATTGATTTAGCCATGTCAGTCTGTCCGTTCATATATATGCGAAATAGTTTCTAGTTATGAGATACAGCTCTGAAAATTGCACACGTCTTATTTTGCCCAAGAAGTGCCTACATATGTCACGCCGATACCATACCACTATACCATATAGCTGCCATACAAACAGAACGATCTAAATTAAGTTCTTGTAACGAAAATTTTTCTGACGTGACTTAACGCTACAATATTTATAGAATACATAATTTCGGCTTTTATGGTATACAATTGTTCTAATTTGTTTTTTGTTTGTAACAGTTACATTTGCGTTTGTGTATATGATATATACTTTGCACTTCGTGTTGCTCATTTAACGTATTTTATATTTAGGCGATCAGAGCGTTTCATTTGTAGATATTCGCTAGATATGATTAAGCATTCTTAGAAACCACCAGCAATACTCACTGAACGAAGTAATGTAACAAGCTGTGGATTAAATTTTTGGAACCTTCTGTTGGTTTGATAGCACGAAAAAAGCCTCATCCTCTAGAAAGTTCTTGGACACCAATTGAAAAAGTTCTAAAATCTTTTCCATATAAAAGAAATGAACAAATTTCAATTGAAAGAAATCAGTTTCCAGTTGTTCCGGCTGAGGGAATAACTATTCATAAAAGTCAGGGTGCCACATATAATAAAGTTGTAGTTCATACTCGACCCAGAATGCCTAGAGCTTCAATATATGTCGCTTGTCATAGGAAATTTTATTCCTCCCAACATATTTTCTGAATCGGATCCTGTATTTAAGGAACTGAGCGAATTGAACACAAATAAAGCTCTGACAACAAGTTTCAGTTTTATGAATTCCCGAACATCAGAACATCAAACTTTATTCCATAATGTTCAGAGTCTTCGTGCTCACATTAATGATATAAAAATCGATTGTTTGATGCTATCTTCAGATATTTTATGTTTTGTAGAAACTTGGAGTTATCCTTGCGAAAGTTTTGATATACCAGGATTTACTCCAATTAACGAGCTGAGGATAGATAGCACGGAAACAACCAACAAAAATAAACGGGGCATTATAATATATGCAAAGCATAGTATTGCTTGCTCTATAGAATCAAAGGCTGTAAAGAAAATTTATTCAGGCCGCAAAGTTTTAGAAGCGGTTTTGTTTAATTGTTTCAATATTAATATTCTGGTTCTATATATAAATTCAGCAATTAATTGTCTTCTAATTTAATTGTAGAACTTCAGGAAGTCCTTACTTCTGAGTTAGGCAATCAAAATGTGCTAATTGTTGGAGATTTTAACATTTGTTTAATGTCTACAGGGGCTGCAATAAGAAATCTGCTCCAAGAAAAAAACTTTAGTTCCCTGCTTGATGCAGAATATTCAACTACACCTGCCGGTACACAAATGGATTGGGCATTTTCAAACATGGATCCTTCCCATGTTAATGCAACTACTTGTACTTTTGAGACAGTACACAGCTATCATGACAGTATTTGTGTCTCTATTTCTAAAGTTTTCAGACTTAGTGCAATAGTTCTTCATTTTTTTTTTCCAAATATAATCGAATTGGAATGGTATAGGAATTTGGACAGTAGTTTTTAAGACAATTTTAAGAAAAATATGTAAATAATCTAATTAAGAAAATTTAAATTATATATATGATTTGTTACTATATATGACATTATTGTATAAATATAATATATGATAGAAATTAAATAGTATAAGGAAAAAACAAATATAATTTGGATATATGAATAAGAATCTCTACAAACATTTATGTTTAATATTGTAAATATTATATACAAAATAATATAATAATATTATATCATTTTTAAAGTTGTTATTATTTTTTTTTTTTTAAGCTAAACATGTATAATAATATCGATATAATAAATAAAAAATGTTATTCATTGTTCAAAAACGATTTCTTTTCATACTTCTCAATACAGTTGTAATGCATTCTATATAAAATCAATTATAAGCGTATACAAAAAGCACAAGAATGATTTCTCCTAATTTGAGTAAATGTAGTTTACAAATTGCTCTAATTATTTTCACTGTGAGTAAAAAGTAAATAACTAAGGCAACAGTTCCTACTTCTAATTATTAAAATATATAAAGAAGTCTCAAACGAATATACCATTTAATTTTGCGAGAGTATAAAATGTTCGGTTACATCCGAACTAAGCCCCTCCTTACTTGTTTAGTAGAAAGTTTTGAAAGCATTTCCCCCCTTTTGCATTTTGCACATTGCGAGAGTATGGTTGTTCGGTTACAGTCGAACTTAGCAACTCATTACTTGTTATACTCTCGCAACCTGTTGCTACAGAGTATAATAGTTTTGTTTACCTAACGGTTGTTTGTATCACCCAAAACTAATCGAGTTAGATATAGGGTTATATATATATATAAATGATCAGGATGAAGAGACGAGTTAAAATCCGGGTGACTGTCTGTCCGTCCGTCCGTCCGTCCGTGCAAGCTCTAACTTGAGTAAAAATCTATATATCTTTATGAAACTTGGTAGACATGTTTCTTGGTACCGTGAGACGATTGGTGTTGCAGATGGGCGTAATCGGACCACTTTCACGCCCACAAAACGCCATTATTCAAAAACAAATAAATTGCCATAACTAAGCTCCACAACAAGATACAAGACTCTTATTTGATATACAGAATCACAATAGAGAGAGGCATCTGCAGTTAAAATTTTTTTTTAAAGTGGGCCCCTAATAGGTTTAATGTGCATATCTCCTAAACCGCTAATGCTATAATAACAAAATGGGTGAAATCGGGTGTCAACTCCGCCCACTCCTCATATAACGGTACTGTTAAAAACTACTAAAAGCGCGATAAATCAAGCACTAAACACCGCCCACTTTTAGGGGAAAACCCATATCTTGGGATCTGCTTAACCGATTTCAACCAAATTCGGTACATGACATTCTTCTCATATCTCTATGTGATAGTGCGAAAATGAGCGAAATCGGATTACAACCACGCCTACTTCCCATATAACACCATTATAAATTCATCTGATCCTTTCACTTTCCACTATGGAAATCAGGCAACAATGACTGTATCGGGATAAAACTTTGCGTGAATAATGCGATTAAAGTATGCCACCTTGTGACCAAAAATATGTTTGTATAATACTGAATATGTGGACCACAGTGCCTATAGTTGACCTTCTACCGAAAATATCAGTCAATCCACAAACGAGTATACGATTTGACTTTGCGAGAGTATAAAATGTTCGGTTACATCCGAACTTAGCCCTTCCTTACTTCTTTTATTTAAGAATCGTTTTGACTTAACATAATTGAAAATAACCAACATATCTTTCAAGTTCAATTCATTCATCAAATTGGACACAGTGTAGTAAATTTCACTAAAATTGGTTCAGTAGTTAAAGAGTTTAATCAAGAGAACACGTGACACGTAATTTTTATAAATATAATAATGAGGACAAAGTTTTGTGCCCAGAAATCTTCATAGTTTTAGACACGCACTTAATGCAAATTTCATTTAGAGAAATCAATTTATAAATATACATTTGTTATTAATTTTAAATTAAATTCACAAATTCATATAGGGAGGCATGTACATATTTCAAATATTGGACTCGTATGCAGTTAGTGGTTTTTGCCTGTTATGGCTGATATTTTTCGAATGTGTGTCAATATCGTGGTGCTACGGCGTCAACCGTTTCTATGACGGCATAAAAGATATGATCGGTTATTACCCAATGGCCTGGTGGAAATTTTGTTGGTGTGTTACAACCCCACTTATTTGTCTGGTAAAATAAAAACAAAAAGTACTATGTCCCAATTTGTTTTTAATCAAATTTTTTTAGGGAGTTTTCTTTTTCAACATTGTGCAATGGAAACCAATAAAATATTTAGACTATAACTATCCTTGGTGGGCCCATGCGTTTGGTTGGTTTACTGCCTTGTCATCGATGCTTTACATACCTGTTTACATGGTTTGGCTATGGAGGCGAACACCTGGAGATACAGGCGAGGTAAGTTTTAAAGACCACTTTAAAAATCAAATTTAACTTTGTCAATGTTGGCAAACTATATCGTAAATAATCCATTGATCCAATGAACTATACTGCATAGTAAGGCCAAAACAAATATACTCGTACATATATGTCGACTCAAAAAGTCTGCGCACACGCTTATACCTTTTTTTTGTTGAAAAACAACTTTTATATACTAAATTTCAGAACATTACCGCATGATACCATGTTCCGATCAAAAATTTGAAGTAATTAGATTAAATTTAATCTATTCAGTACTCTAGGCTGTCCTCACTGCCGTTGAAGATTTATAAAATAGCTATTTTTGACATAAAAAATTCACATCGATTAATATTTAATAAAAGAAAACATTGTAAAGTCGTACTTTGTTATAAAAGTCGTCTTGTTTTAAATATTTTCCATTTCATGAAAATAATTCACGCATTTTTTGATTTAAGATATAGATTGCCAGGTGAATTCAGATGCATTGATTTCAAAAAATATATGTAGTCAAATCTACTCAACAGCCTAAATCTCCTGATTAGGATTCGGTCAGAACATGGTATTAAGTGCCTTATTGCATAATCAAATTTAAAGCGATGAAAATTTGGCAACATTGTTTTATCAATAAATTTGCAAAAATACAAATTTTTCAGTGCAGAAAACGTCTGCGTACTCGTAATAAATTGGGAATTCGCCGCGTAATATCCAACTACTATTATTTTCAATATCCCGAAGGATACAGCGGACAACGTTAATCTTTGGTTACTCTACAACATTCCTAAGCAGTTTCGAACGCCACAACTACTAGATTTGAATACTTATGGGATTTACTGGTACGAAAAATATATCAACGCACAATTACCTCAAAAGTTATGCACAAGAGGATGCTGCGTACGGAATGGGCTCAAACTCCTTCAACAGAAACTTGTTTCTTCTATGCAAAAATGCCTAGCGGAAGTTTTAAAAAGTAGTGAACAACCTATTAAATTCTAAGAGGAATTCAGAGGAAGAGTATATCGGCCTTTCCATTAGGCATGAAATTATTTCTAAATATCGTTTAGTCCATTTTAAATATGTCATGATCTTTAATTTTTTTTCACTGTATTCAGTAATGATTACAATTTCATCGTGGGAATATATACGCAAGAACAACGTTTACAAATTATTAAATTTTTTTTATCAAAATAATCGTTCTCCAATGGCAACTTTTCGTGCGGTTTTGCCATTTTATGATCGCCTGAGTGGTGCGGTAAATAAACAAAACTATCGATTCTGGTGGGAAGAAAATCCACAAGTTGAACATTAACAACCATTACATTCAACTAAATTGACAGTTTGGTTTTTGCTCTGGTGGAATCATCGGTCCGTACTTTTTTCAAAATGAAGCTGGTGACACCGTTACTGTCAATCGAGAGCGGTATAGATCGATGATAACTAACTTTTTATTGCCGCAAGTGGAACAAGTTATTGCGAGAAAAGTTTGAAGATTCGATAATTTCAACAAGTTATGACATTGAATGGCCTCCAAGAAGTTGTGATTTAACAATTACATGATTGTACTTCACATAATATAAAAAAATTTGAATTTCCTTAACAATTAGTGAGTTTAATTAGTTTTTTTTAAAGAAATCATAACACTCTTATTGGAAACCTTGTAATTGGGGACTGTGTACCTTGTGCGCACGCTTTTCCTAATGGATTTCTAGTCGTCTGTATACAAGTATGTCGTTTTGTTTATATGTTATTGCTTGGACTTTAGCTGTCAGCTGCGAATTTAAGTGACCCGACGACATTGAAAATTACTGTAATCGGATAGTAGGCGGCTGCGACAAGATTTTATTTTACCTATGTACATGTACTTCACTAGCACAAAAAATAAGGCTGAAGATTCGGGTTACTTCGGACAAACTCGTTTTCTGACCATAGTTATATAGGATTTAAGAAAAAATTCTCAGCCCTCAATAAAAGTGAAACCTGAGAACACTATCAGGGAATATACTTAGACTTAAGGTAGGTGACTCAACTTTTAAACTGGAGGAAGGGATCGTCACACTTCCGAGTATTCTCAATAAAGCATATTACATCGCATGCTCTGCATCACATGGAAAGCGTGGTTCGAAGCCGCCTTGGTGGAACAGAGAGCTCGGATCACGTAGGCGTACTTACGATAGCGTATCAAAATGGCGCTAATTGTGCGTGAAGGGGCAGCACTATTTCTTACCTACCTACCTACGTCCCCTCCGATATCATAACGAAGAACAAAATACTTTGCGCACTCAACGGCGTCAAACCGTTTAAATTCCCTGGTATGGACGGTTTTTTCCTAGCCATGATGCAGAACTCATCAACGGAGCTGGTACCATAACTGATGACAATATATGAAGGATGTTTAAGACTTAACTATGTGCCTATCCTTTGGAGAGTCCCTCTTTATTCGAAAGAATATAGACCAATAGTTCTAACCTCACGCCTTCTGAAGACACTCGAAAAGATTCTAGGTGCCTACATTATTGACAAGATTCCATCGGATAACCTATCGAAGACTCAACACGTCTGTACGAAGAGTAGATCCACTGAGTCTCCACTTTACTCGTTAACCCTAAATATAGAGAGAGCCCTAGAGCATAAGGGATATGACCTGAACGACATAAGCGGAGGACTCAATAATGCCTCCATTGGCGCAATTGTAAATTGTCTGGAAGCAGCCGGGATAGATCTCCCCACCATAGCATGGATAAAAGCTTTACTAAGCTGAAGAAAGATTAATGCAGAATGGAACGAAGCCAGATTGCCCAGATTAGCGTGAACAGGAACTTCAGCTTGGTAGTGCGCGAACAGGAACTTTTCAGGGGGGTGTGTTGTGACCTCTCTTGTGGTTACTTGTGGCAAATGAGCTTCTGAGAAAATTTGAAGGAACAGCATCAAAACTGATAGCCTTTGCAGACCAGTGACGGGAAAGATCCTATACATTGTTAGTAACGTGATGAATAGCATTCTCATAGTCATACACCAGTGGGCAATATAGGCTAGCCTAGAAGTAAATGTCGGTAAGATAGATATGGTACTCTTTACATGGAGGCCCAACGAGAAAGAGCTAACTACTAAGGATTATACCAACTACATACTTGGGGCAGAAAACGGACGTGGTAGCTCAATGTGGAAATCAAGGGTGAGAAAGGCTAGTGGTGCCCACTACGCATGTCAGAAGACGTTAGGATCAACATTAGGACTATCACTAGTCCTTATGCGTTGGTGTTATGTTACACAGCAGCAGTCAAGTCAATTTTACTTTACGGTGCTTTGGTGTGGTGAAACGTCACCAATTGAAATTAACGTGAAAAGCTCTGCAATGAAATCAGCTGCAAGATTGACGGCGTTAGGTAAATTTTCCACAAGAACCTTCGGACATAGCCCGATAGGCGGGGGGTCGGTTGATAAAATAACCTTACACTTTATTTGGGAGAGAAGCTTTCAAGTCACGCTAAAAGGGTGAGGATGGCGCAGGAGCACGCGACCCACTAGCGATACTTTCAACATCTATACGGGCGGGTCAAAAATTTTTATTCTTCTTTTTATTACAAACATATTTATAACAATAATAATGCTTGATAGCACTACAACTAGTTTTATAAACTAACAGCAGTTTGATTATAATAGCTTATATAGATAACAAATAAATTCGTAATGCCTTGAATTTCTTGGTCATTTAACTACCAACTAAATTATGTGATTTTTTTCAATGTAAGCGACTAAGGAGTCATATGTCTAAGAGGAAATTTTCTCGCTTCCTTATTCACATCTTTATTAAGTCTTGTAGTGGGCCTCTTCCTGAAATCTTATTTTTTCGACGACTGTATTTACATATCATACTGATAATCTTCAGTGGCGCAACGGGGCATGTTACGGACGTTAAGATATTTGGTGCCTTCCAAAAGAGAGTAATCATCTTTTTTGTCAGCCGATAGTAGAGATAAGAATTTGTGTATTGACTCATTCTTAATATAAGTAAATTATCATTCTAATACAGCTGTTGCTCTATTAAGGTTGGTTTTGTCAAGTGGTATTCTTGAATTTTACCGTTAATTGTTCTAGTGCTTATTTCTGTTAGTAATAAATGGTACATGACCATGTTTGGAAAATTTGTCAATGGAAATTATAAATTAATTTTACTGGAAGTGCCGGTGTAAACTATTTCGTTAATAGTTTTTGGTGTGTCTGTAAGCTAAAATGTATTTCGAATTGGATTACGATGGAATTTTGGTTGCATAATATGGATTTTAGTCTTTCATAATCTCCGACAATTCCGTAACGACTGCTTTCATTTTTGGGGATAAGTAAGGCTATTTATTTTTTGCAATTCCGATTGTCTGTCCTTTGCAAATATGCTTCTATTGATTCATTTCGTTTAATAGAACCTGATTTTGTGATTTTCTGTAATGCTTTTCTCAACTTCGCCTTGATTTATTTCGCCTGATTCTCTGATTCTATTTAAGAAATAAACAATTTTATTCAGTACTTTGTGCTTTCAGAATGTTATAAATTTTCAAAAATTCAAGAGAGTTTGATCGTCCTGTTTGGTTTCGAAATATTATCTTTATTATTTGAAGTTGGACTTTTCCTATCGTTTTGGCGTTGATTGGACTCGGTTTGGTTTTTTATATTCTGAACAGCATATTAAGTTTGGCACGAAGCTTGTAACAACTCCGGAGACCCTTAAAGTATAAACTTGTATATATAAAAATGATCATCGTGATGAGCTGAGTTGATTTAGCCATGTCAGTCTGTCCGTCTGTATATATATATGCGAAATAGTTTCCCAGTTTATGAGATACAGCTCTGAAAATTGCACACGTCTTATTTTGCCCAAGAAGCTGCCTACAAGTATATGTCACCGCCGATACCATACCACTATACCATATAGCTGCCATACAAACAGAACGATCTAAATTAAGTTCTTGTAACGAAAATTTTTTTTTCTGGCGACGTGACTTGAACGC